GCTACTGTCCCTTTAAGCATCTGCTCTAACCAAAGAGGTAACTCAAGCACACCGACCAGCGCATGACCAGCCTGTTACCCGCACACTCACCTCCGCACAGGTGACCAGCCTATGACCAGCCTGTCACCAGCCTGTCACCAGCTTGTCACCAGCGCATGACCAGCCTGTTACCCGCACACTCACCGCCGCACAGGTGACCAGCCTATGACCAGCCTGTCACCAGCCTGTCACCAGCTTGTCACCAGCGCATGACCAGCCTGTTACCCGCACACCCACCTCCGCACAGGTGACCAGCCTATGACCAGCCTGTCACCAGCCTGTCACCAGCCTGTCACCAGCCTGTCACCAGCCTATGACCAGCCTATAACCACACAGCTGACAAGCCCACGAACAGCACTCTACTACTACTATTTACTACTCTACTACTATATACTACTCTACTACTACTACTCTACTACTATATACTACTCTACTACTACTACTCTACTACTACTACTACTCTACTACCCCTCCTCGTCCTACTACTACTCTACTACTATATACTACTCTACTACTATATACTACTCTACTACTACTACTCTACTACTATATACTACTCTACTACTATATACTACTCTACTACTATATACTACTCTACTACTATATACTACTCTACTACTACTACTCTACTACTATATACTACTCTACTACTATATACTACTCTACTACTACTACTCTACTACTATATACTACTACTACTATTACTACTCTACTAGTATATACTACTCTACTACTACTACTCTACTACTACTACTCTACTACTATAGCTCTCTACACTATACCATTTCAGACACTGCTTGAAGAGGTCGCCGCCCACAAAGTCCATGATGACGTCGACCCCGCGACCTTCCGTGATCGCTTTGACCTTGTCGTGCAGCGGCTGCGAGGAGTAGTCGATCGTCGCGAACGCTCCCTTGTCGCGCGCGAGGTCGCACTTTGCCGCGCTGCCGCACGCCGCTATCACCTGCGAATGAATTCGAAATTTGAAGTGAATCCGAGTTGATCGATGAAATCGACGACGAACGAGGAATGCGATGTGCACGTGTGTGACTTGTATCACGTCGCGTTGTAGGAATCATGCTTGGTAGTTAATAGACCGCATATTTTGTTTACGTAATGGACTGTTTGTGTCGTATACCTTGACGATTATGTAAGTAAATAAATCAACAAATAAATCAACAACTCACAACAGACCGGATCTTTCCTCCGATGGTGGACTGGCAGTGGGAAGGCAATGGGATAATGGGAAGATAGATGGTGGTGATATGGTAGATAGATACCTGGTGGTAGGATGATGGTAGGATAACAGGATGGTTGTAGGATGATGTCAGGATGATGGGGGATGGTAGGATGACGTGGGGGATGGTAAGGATGATGGGGGGATGGTAAGGATGATGGGGATGGTGGATGAATGGGGGATGGTAGTGAATGATGGGGGGATGGTAGGATGATGAGAGGAATGGTAGGATGAGGGGGGGATGGTAGTGATGATGGGGGGATGGTAGATGATGGGGGGATGGTAGGATGATGGGGGGACTGGTAGGATGAGGGGATGGTGAGGATGCTATGGAGGGATGGTAGGAATGAATGGGGGATGTAGATGATGGGGATGAGGATGATGGGGGATTAGATGATGGGGGAGATGGTAGGATGATGGGGGAATGGTAGGATGATGGGATGGTAAGGATGATGGGAGCGATGGTAGGATGATGGGGGAGGAGGTAAGGATGAGGAGGAAATGTAGGATGATGGGGATGTAGGATGATGGGGGATGGTAGGATGATTGGGGGGGGATGGTAGGCATGAGGGGAAATGGAGGATGAGGGGGGATGTAGGATGATGGGGGATGGTAGGATTGATGGGGGATGGTAGGATGATGGGGATGTTAGGATGATGGGGGGATGGTAGGAGATGGATGATAGGATGATGGGGATGGTAGGATGATGGGGGATGGTAGGATGACGGGAGGTAGATGAATGGGGATGGAGGATGATGGGGGGATGGTAGGATAGGGGGATGGTAGGATGATGGGGGAAATGGTAGATGAATGGGATGAGATGATGGGGATGGTAGGAGATGGGGGGATGAGGATGATGGGGGGATGGTAGGATGAAGGGAGGATGTAGGATGCGGGGGGATGGTAGGATGCATGGGGGGGATGGAGGAGATGGGGGTGGCAGGATGATGGGGGGATGGTAGGATGATGGGGGGATGGTAAGGATGATGGGTGGGAATGGTAGGATGATGGGGGATGGTATGGATGATGGGTCGGATGGTAGGATGATGGGGGATGGAGGGATGAGGGGGGGATGGAGGATGAAGGGGGATGAGGAATGATGGGGGATGGTAGGATGATGGGCGGAGAAGGTAGATGAATGGGGGGTGGGATGGTAGGATGAGGAGGGATGGTAGGATGATGGGGATGGTAGGAAAAATAGGGGGATGGTAGGATGAGGGGGGGATGGAGGATGATGGGGATGGTAGGGGGATCGGTAGATGATGGAGGGATGGTAGGATGATGGGGGGATGGTAGGATGACGATGTGTGGTGTGGAGCGCAGCCTACCTGGCTCGGTATAGAGGGCGGAATGCGACATCGATGGCAGGCCGAGGCCGCGTAGCTCCGCAGCTGCACGGCCCGTCACCAGCACCGTCCCTCTCTCGCACCCGCGCGACGCGGTCGTCCATCAACGATGTGCGCGTATGCGATCAGCATGCCGGCCGCCTTGTCCAGTGGCGATGCCGTGAGGAGCGACCAACACGCGCTGCCGGAGAGAGAGAGAGACGGAGGTTGTAAGAGATAGAGAGACCAGCCGTGAGGGGCGGCGACCACCACGCGCTGCTGGAGAGAGAGAGACGGAGAGGATATGTAAGAGATAGAGAGACGCCACAGTGAGGGAGCGGACCGACACGCGGCTGTCGGGCAGAGAGAGAGAGCGGAGAGGTTGTAAGAGATAGAGAGCGAAAGGTGCCGGAGGGAGCGACCGAAACTACGAGCAGCTGCCGGAGGAGAAGAGACAGAAACAGGCGGAAGACAAGTTTGTAAGATGATAGATAGCCGGAGGTGGCGAGCGACCCACGAGGACACAGCAAAAGAGCCGCCGGAGAGAGAGAGAGAACGGAGTTGTAAAGATGATAGAGAGATGATGCCCGTGAGGGGAGAACGCCCACACACGTCCCCGGCGCGAGGGCCAGGCGACCTATTGACGCGCTGGGGATGGCTGGCCGGGGAAGAGAGAGAGAGACGGAGGTTGTAAAGATAGAGAGAAGCCGTGAGGGGAAGCGACACACAACGCAGCTGCGACAGGAGAGAGAGACCGCAGGGAGGTGTAAGTAAAGAATAAGAGACCGCCGTGAGGGAGCCGACGCAACCCCCTCATCTGGTCACGCATGGCTGCGAGAGAGAGAGAGAGACGGAGAGTTGTAAAAAGATAGAGAGACGCCGCTGAGGGGAGGCGACGCACACAGCCGCTGCGGGAAGAAGAGGAAGAGACTGGCGAGTTGTAAGAAGATAGGATGAGACGCCGCTGAGGGAGAGGCGAGACCAAACACGCGGCTGCGGATGCCGGAGAGAGAAGACGGAGGGTTGTAAGAGATAGAAGAGAGAGCGCCGTGAGGAGCGACCCACACAGCTAGCGCTGGGCAGTGGGTTAGTAGCGAGCAGGGTCGTGACGTCAAGTCGGCGCTGGTGCAGAGAGAGAGAGAGACCAAAGGAGGTTGTAAGAGATAGAGAAGACACGTGAGGGCGCGACCGACACATGGCGCTGACGCCGGGAGAGAAGAGAGACAGGAGGTTGTAAGAGAATAGAGAGATGCCCGGCACGTGAGGGAGCCGAACCATCAGCACACTGGCGGAGAGAGAGAGAGACGGAGTTGTAAAGATAGAGAGGACGGGGGCGCGGCTGAGGGACGACGCGACACAGGCATGGTCGTGCTGGGAGCGAGAAGAGAGACGGAGGTTGTAAGAGATAGAGAGACGCCGTGAGGGAGCAAAGCACCGCTGGCCGGGAGAGTAGAGACTGGGAAGTTGTAAAAAAGATAGAGAGAACCAGCCGTGAGGTGAGCGCCAACACAGGCGCGTCCGGGAGAAGAGAGAAAGAAAAACGGGGAGGTTGTAGAGTAGATAGAGAGACGCCGCTGAGGGACGGCAGACCACCGACGTCGCTGTGCTGCCGGGAGAGAGAGAGAAGCAGGAGAGTTTGTAAGAGATAGAGAGACGCGCAGTGAGGAGCTGACTCAACGAGCCGCTGGTCCCGGGAGAGAGAGAGAGACATAAGCGTCGGAGGTGTAAGAATGAGAGAGACAGCCGTGAGGGAGCGACCCCCACACATCCGGACAGCGCTGGCCCAGGAGAGAGAGAGGAGAACGGAGGTTGTAAAGGATTATTAGAGAGACGCCGTGAGAGGAGGCGACAACACACAGCAGCTAGGCCCTGGGAAGAGAGACGAACGGAGGTTGTAAGAGATAGAGAGAAGCGGCCGGAGGGAGCGACGCACAACGCGCTGCCGGGAGAGAGAGAGAGACGGACGGTTGTAAGAGATAGAGAAAACGCCGTGAGAGAGGCGAACAGACACGCGCATGCCGGAGAGAGAGAGAGATAACGAGAGCGGAGGCTGTAAGAAGATAGAGAGACGCCGAGAGGCGAGCGACCACGACGCGAAAGCAGATTCGGGAAAGAGAGACGGAGGATTGTA